TATATCCATATATATGTATGTATGTGTTGTGTATATATGTATGTGATATATCGTATGTCAGTATTGTATGTTATATGATGTATGGTATAATATGTATGTATAAATGTATTTCTATATAGGTATTGTTATTATATCGTACTGTACATCATGTATGTACAATATCTATGTTATGTCGCTCTATGGTGTGTATGTGTTTCATTTTATATTTTGGATTATGGTGTGTGTGTGTGTGTGTGTGTGTGTGTGAGTGTGGCGTGTTCCGTGCTGCTGTGTGAACGGTGTGAGTGACCTGCTGGGCGCGTGTTGTGTGGCCTGGCTCACCTGGGGTGTGTGGCTGCACTTGTGTGTGCTGCGTGTATAGAATATACTTATATATATTATATATATATATATATATATATATGTATATAATTACTATATATATAATGATAATACATTTAAAATTCATCAATATATACAAAGCGATACATCACGAATATAAATACTTATATATAATATACTATAATACTATATTCTATATTTTTGATATGTATATTAGAGAGAGAGAGGAGAGAGATTATTTTGATATATGGATTTATATATTCGATGTAAATTTATAAGATAAAGTAAACGAAGAATACGCATGAGGTAGACGAGAGGAAGCACGAGAGAAGAAAAAGCAGAGGAGAAGAGAGCATGTACAATATCTTACATACAAATACAGTGAACATGTGTCGTGCGTACCGTTCGTACATTGCGTGAGGCATGTGTGTTTAAAGCCGGCTACTTAGCTACGGAGGCGCCGCCACTGACCTTGACCTATGACCTAGACCTAACGCTAGCTCTAACGTCAATGTCTTCCGCGGCGCATCTTTACTCATCGCGACCAACGCTACGCTACCAACTTCTCTCCGATGCAACTTTGGGTAATTCAGGGAAAACCACTTCTTTTTTTTACATCTTAGCAGGAAGAAACTTTAGCGTTTACAGGGCAACCGGACTGGATGACAGAGTGTGCAAAGGTTATCGACCTTCACCTAGGAGAGAGAAAGGAAGAGATCGAGACCACATAAAGGTAAGGGAAAGGAAAGAGAGGTAGAGAGGAAGAGAGGTAGAGAGGGAGAGAGAGAGAGAAGAGAGAGAGGAGAGAGAGAGAGAGAGAGAGAGAGAGAGAGAGAGAGAGAGAGAGAGAGAGAGAGAGAGAGAGAGAGAGAGAGAGAGAGAGAGAGTGGGGGGGGGAGAGGGAGAGAGAGGGAGGGAAGGGAAGGGGAGGGAGGGAGGGAGGGAGGGAGGGAGGGAGGGAGGGAGGGGAGGGAGGGAGGGAGGGAGGGGAGAGAGAGAGAGAGAGAGAGAGAGGAGAGAGGAGAGAGGAGAGAGAGAGAGAGAGAGAGAGAGAGAGAGAGAGAGAGAGAGAGAGGAAGGGAGGGGAGGGAGAGGGAGAGTGAGAGGGAGAGGAGGGAAGGGGGAGAGGGAGAGGGAGAGGGGAGAGGAGAAGAGAGAGAGAAGAAGAGAAGGGAGAGGGAGAAGAGAGAGAGAGAGAGAGAAGAGAGAGAGAGAGAGAGAGAGAGAGAGAAGAGATGAGAGAGAGAGAGAGAGAGAGAGAGAGAGGAGAGAGAGAGAGAGAGAGAGAGAGAGAGAGAGAGAGAGAGAGAGAGAGAGAGAGAGAGAGAGAGAGAGAGAGAGAGAGAGAGAGAGAGAGAGAGAGTGAGAGAGAATAGAGAGAGAGAGAGAGAGAGAGAGAGAGAGAGAGAGAGAGAGAGAGAGAGAGAGAGAGAGAGAGAGAGAGAGAGAGAGAGAGAGAGAGAGAGAAGGCGAGGGAGGGAAAGAGAACGAGAACGAGTGTCGGGGGGAAGAATGGGACATACAGAAGTCCAAGTCGAGGAGAGAAAACGGCAATTGTAATTCTCATACAAAGAGACTCGACCATCTGAGGCGTGGACGGTGGCACTACCACATTACCACCGACTCCTCAGGGGGATCACCAGCCGGGCACCAAAGACACCATCAGGTGCACGGTGAGGACGGACAACACTGCTCACGATCTCGAGCGATAAGGCTTCACCTTCCCCGGGATAGATAGAGGTCACGTCCTTCCAAGAGGCAGAGATTCACTCGATAGTGTCAAGTGAGCCTTCACGGTTGACCCTTGGTAAACAAAGCATGCCTCCGGACCAGGACAGTCGCAAGGAGAGCAGCGGGGCAACTAGGGTTACCCCCTCCCCTTCCCTCTTTCTCTCGCATGCCAAGCCTTGTCCTCATACCCATGTCCCGAGCATGTCCAGCCCCCGGTGGGTCCGTCCCTTCACCTTCCCCGGCGGCCTGCCCTGCCACAGCACAAGGGAGGAAGACCGAGACAATGCGCACGGAGGTCAGTGCATCCTCCTGCCCTGCGCGACGGTCTGTGGCGAAACACCTTCCCTCGAAACCCAAAACAAACCCTGACAGCCTCGCCTCCATTAGCATACAATACGCCATTATTCTAGAAAAAAGAAACGAAACAGCTCGGAGGTGTTGGTAAGGTTAGCCACTTACTGTACTTTGTATTACCTTTCTTCATATAACCTCCGGACACCAGCAAAAATGATGTGTTGTGTGTGTGTGTGTGTGTGTGTGTGTGTGTGTGTGTGTGTGTGTGTGTGTGTGTGTGTGTGTGTGTGTGTGTGTGTGTGTGTGTGTGGGCATGTTGTAACGCATGTGTGCGTATGTGCGCATACGTGTGTGCATGTGTGTGCGCGCGTGTATGCGAGTGTGCGTGCGTGTTATGTGTGTGTACACACACACACTGAGGGAGAGAGAGAGAGAGAGAGAGAGAGAGAGAGAGAGAGAGAGAGAGAGAGAGAGAGAGAGAGAGAGAGAGAGAGAGAGAGAGAGAGAGAGAGAGAGAGAGAGAGAGAGAGGGGGGGGGGGGGGGGAGAGGGGGGAGGGAAGGGAAGGGAGGGGGAGAAGAAGGGGAGAGAGGGAGAGGGAGAGGAGAGGGAGAGGGAGAGGGAAGAGGGAGAGGGAGAGGGAGAGGGAGGGAGAGAGAGAGAGAGAGAGAGAGAGAGAGAGAGAGAGAGAGAGAGAGAGAGAGAGAAGAGAGAGAGAGAGAGAGAGAGAGAGAGAGAGAGAGAGAGAGAGAGAGAGAGAGGGGTGTGTGTGTGTGTGTGTGTGTGTGTGTGAGGGAGGGAGAGAGGAGAGAGAGAGAGAGAGAGAGAGAGAGAGAGAGAAGAGAGAGAGAGAGAGAGAGAGAGAGAGAGAGAGAGAGAGAGAGAGAGAGAGAGAGAGAGAGAGAGAAAAGAGAAGAGAGGGAGGGAGGGAGGGAGGAGGGAGGGAGGGAGGGAGGGG